GCTTGTCCCGATCGCCAGCGCCGCTCCACCGGGTTGCACGGTCGCGGACGCGCTCTGGACCGGGCCGCATCCGCGATCAGTCCGCGCCGCTCCCAAAAAGAAGCGGTGGAGAGCCAGGTCCCACCGAGATTTGAACTCGGATCGCTGGATTCAAAGTCCAGAGTGCTCACCATTACACCATGGGACCGCCCTGGCGAGGGCGCTCTCGCACCCATGGGCCGTTGACATCTAGACGTGACAGAAGCAGGGTGACGACCGCGTGGGAGGGAGAGAGAGGGCGCAGAAAGGGACGAGGAGTCATGGAAACGGACAAAATGACGAAAAAACAGACGCCCGACGGGGGACTTGAACCCACGACCCTTGGATTAAAAGTCCAATGCTCTACCGACTGAGCTAGCCGGGCTCTGAGAAACGAATGGAGCCGGAGGCTCCCCGCCCTCCTAGCCCCCTCCCCTGCGGACCATATTCCTCATCTAGATGACAACTGGCATGACGGCCGCGTCGCCGTCAGTCTGTCTCGTCGATGAGTCAGTAGCTCTGCGTGACCGTCGCTCAGCATGTGGGCGGGTCAGCCGTGATCGTATAGTGGTTAGTACCTCGCGTTGTGGCCGCGATAACCCAGGTTCGAATCCTGGTCACGGCAGGTGACACATTTTTCCCTGCAACATTGGTCTCCCCCTACCTCCCCCTCCCCCTTAAATTTTGTCAAACAAATCGAAAACAAACGCCTGAGCGATACGCCTGAGAACGGATTGCGAAAAGAAAAGGGGGACTGCCGAAACCCGGGATCGAACCGGGGACATTTAGATCTTCAGTCTAACGCTCTCCCAACTGAGCTATTTCGGCTGATAGGCGCATGTGTGACACGGCAGACCCATAAAGAGGCGCTCCGTGCACTCAGTCCGTCTCGGCCCATGTGACGAGATGATCTCCGCTGCGGCCGCGTTCCTCACCATCTGGCCCATTAGCTCAGTTGGTTAGAGCGTCGTGCTAATAACGCGAAGGTCGTGGGTTCGATCCCCCCATGGGCCAAGGTCTCTTTTGCTCGTCCTCATCAAATAGGAGTTATTCGAAAGGAAACAAAATTCAGACTGTCTCCCGGCCATAGTGCGAATTTTACTGGTAGTGATTTTTCGCTCTTTGGTTGCGCCGACAGGATAAAACATGTGTGCCCCGGGTGAGGATCGAACTCACGGCCTTCAGATTATGAGACTGACGCGCTGCCTACTGCGCTACCGACGCTGACGTCAGTACACCGCCCCATCAGATACAACTGCCACCCCTCTACCCCGAGGCGAAGAAAAAAATAAAATAAATAATAACAATAATAAGGGGGAAAAAAACTAACTTTACCAGAGCGTTTCTAAAAGAAGAGGCGATGTGTGCCCGCGTATGCACGGGTGCCACATGACCCCGACGTGAATTGAACACGCAACCTTCTGATCTGGAGTCAGACGCGCTACCATTGCGCCACGGAGTCGCTGTCCATCAGCCGCTACAGTTTCAATCGCAATCGCTATACCTACGGGCCGACGACCCATAATAAGTGATTCCGCCCGGGATCGAACCGGGGACCTTCTGCGTGTGAAGCAGACGTGATAACCGCTACACCACGGAATCCAGATGAGGCGTTGCGTCCGAGTGGTGGGTCCCAAACTAACTAGCGCCCCTTGCACGCTCAACGTCGAGGAGTTACATCACTGCCGCTCACAACGTCGGCAAGGCACCTTCGATAGCTCGATAGTTCTGTCCCGGCTGCGGTCGGGTGCGGAACAGCGTAACAGGCCGGGTGCGGCTTCGGCCAAAATCCTCGCCTGACGCAACGTGTGTCGGTTTCTCGCGTGCCCCGCCGAACCACACGCCCCGTGAGCGGGCCGGGCCCCGCTGCCCCGTGCACACTGTGCCCCCGTGTGCTGCAAGAACGGAGTGAGTGCTGCTGCTGACGAAGAAGGACGCCGCGCCATGGCCACGGCGAGGAAGGCGACGGTGACGATGACGCTGCTGGGAGGAAAGGCTGTGAGCGGACTTGAGGTTTGGGAATTCCTGAAAGTTGTGTTTAGTGTGAAGCTGGAGGAGTTGAGAATGGTGCAGTTGGAGACGAGTGGCAAGAAAGTGCACATCAAGTTTGCGGACGAGCGGCGCGCCGAAGAGATCGGCAACACGGGGCGCTGCCGCCTGGCCTACAGTGATGGATCGGAATGTGACGTTGTGCTGGAAGGGCCCGGACCAGGAGCGAAAGTGCTGCGGGTGAGAAACCTGCCAATGGAAGTGAGTAAAACAGAAGTGTGCCTGTGTTTCTCCCAGTGCGGCAAGGTGGTTGAGGTTAGGGATGAGCGCTACCCGAGAGGCTCATGTTTTGAAGGTCTGTTGTCCGGGACCCGGATCGTGAGGATGGTCATGCAGCGAGACGTGCCAAGCTACGTGCGGATCGGGGGCCATGAGGCTATGGTGTTCTACCACGGCCAAAAGCCAACGTGTCACATCTGCGGCGAGGTTGACC